TTATAGAAAAATAAAATTTAAATAAAAAAACATAAATATAAAAATATTCAAAGAAATTTTGGAAATTATTGACGAAACTATGTTTCCCGTCTTTTTTTTTTGAATCGATATATTGTGCGGTGGTTGACAGTGATGGTGGTGGAGATTGTGGCGGGTGCTTTACAATGGTGGTGGTAGTGCAATGTTGAGATGTGCTAGGATTGTTTATAGGTGCTGATGGTGGTTTGCTGTGGCATTGGTTTGGTTTTTGTATGTTGGAGTGGCAATGGTGGCGGTGGTTTGTTTGTGCTTGGATGACTATTGTGATTTTGCAAGGTCTGGTGGTGGTAATGGTGATACTGATGATGATTGTTGTGGCGTCAGTAGCAGGTAGGATGAGATGGGGTTGGATGTTTGTGATCAATTATTTGGTCGATTGTGACTAATAACTGGAGGGCATAAAAGGTTGTGAAGTAGAATTGTTTATTTTTTGGGCCACGTCCAAATCCTCCACGCAGAGCGGATTGAGGTTTTCGGCCCAAATTTGGTCTAGCCCGGCCCATAGTTTAATTATAGATAATATTGTTGATAAAAATAATAAAATATGGATGACTTTAGAATCATCACCCTTAGGCATTAAATTCATGGAAGTAGAAGTAGAACCTTTATACATATATATTCTTTAAACCTTTAACTGATTTACAAGAAATTAACCAAAAGAAAGAAAGACTAAGAACATTAATTCCACGTTTAACTCTAATTACATGACAGAACATGCATTCGGATTCTCATCACTAAACATGAGTGATAAGTTGTGACTAAAAATTAATAATTGACTAATTAATTTTTTGATTTGTGATCGATAAACAAACAGTGATTTATAAAATTTTTGAATTGTGATCGTAAAATAATTTGTGACATAAAATTTCTAATTTGTGAACAAAAGATAATAAGTGACTAATTAAATTGTGATCAAATTGTATAAATTTGTGACCAAAATTATTGATTAATTAAATCATAAATAAATTTTAATAAAAATCTAATTTTTGAAGTTTGAAACTTATTTTTGTGATTTTGAAATGTGTGATACTTGAACTCCTACTTATGAAATTTTCCTCTCACTCTCCCCCTCTCTTCCTTTTTTTTTTAATAACTATTGCATAAATTTTTAATAATTACTATTGATACCTTTTACTGATGAGAGAGCCTTCTTGACTTTAAGTGCACAGCCTTCACAATCCATTCTGACTTTGAGAGAGACAGTGTTCGTCTGCTTCATTTTCTTACCCTTTTTAGCACTGCTAAGAAGATCAGACAAGTACTCCATAGTGCCTGAAACCCCCATCTTCTTCTTCTTCTTCTGTCTGAATTTTTTTTGTCTCAGTTAAAACTTGAAGAAGTTGAAATGAATTTAGTCGAATGAGAAAACCAGACAAAATCACACTCTCTTCTTTCACTAAGATTGATGAAAAAGACTATAAGCACTAAGCAACCTTTTCTTTCTTGATTTTGTTTATAGAGAAAAATGTGGAGAGTTTTTTCCTTATTGTTGTCTTGAAGGACTGCCAGGGTGTGTATATATACACGTGTTTGTGTGCACGCCTGGTGTGATGAGAATAAAAATCTATTTTTTTTATTAAAAGTTAAATTTAATAATTAATTTTAACTATATATTTCATGACAGCCATAATTTTTTTAACCATACATTTCATTTATTTTTATCAAAATTTATTAAAAATTTGATTTTAATCCTCAGGGCATAATTGTGGGAGCAAAAAATACCAAAGGGGATAATCTGCAAATAATGGAGTGGGGCATAATAAGCCTAGAAACTTCTCATGGGATTAATTTTTATGTTGGGGACCTTATTTTTTGTAGAGTCAATACGCCTTTGCGGTGAGGTCTTCGTGAAGTTGGAACGGGAGTTCCCCACCAAAATTTCTTTTAAGGATAGTTTAAGAATTTCGTTTCGATTTTACTCTAATTTATCTTATAATACGTGCCTAGTTCAAATAAAAATAAGAATTTTAATATATTTTGATAAAAATTAATGAAATATTGTATGGTAGAAAAGTTGTAAATTTCATAAAATTTGATTAGTTATTAATTTTGACTTAAATTTTAGTTTAACTAAAAAAGTTGTACCAAATAGAGGCATAATTACTGAGTCGTCATTAGGGTTTCGAATTATCAACAAAAAATAGAGAGAAGTTAGAGAAGATAGAATGTGTGTCTCTCTCTTATAAAGTTAGTCTTGTTTGAGCTTCATCTTTTGATAATAGATTTTGTACAAAAGTGATTTTTGTGACAAACGTGTGATTAAAAGATTTAGGATTTATATGCAAAATAATTTTTAAGAAGAATGTTTGGTTGAAAATGAGTTCGATAAAAAAAGAGTTTTAAAGTATGGGGCTTAAACATTGTTTACTTTCATCATAGTAAACTACTATAGTAACAGAACATAATATAATATAACAATCAAACGAATATCTATAAATCTTGCATTGTGTATTTTTTTCTTTCTACTATTTTATTGTTCTTAGGTCTCTAATTCTCAACATTCTTCTAAATTACTTGTATAGTAATGTTACGACCTTAAATGCAGACTGTCTATCAATATCAGATTAACAAAACCATAACAAATTCTCTAATTGAATGTTTATGGATCACAAAACCCATTTTTTATAGTAGAATTTCATACTTAGGGAACACGAAAGGTCAAGAGTCAAGACTGTTAATAAATTAAGGACCAAATTGTGTGCACAACATGGCACATAGCTTGGTCCACAGCACCCTCACATCGAGGTTCCATATCAATAAAAAAATGACGTGACCCCACAACATAGTGAAGGTGTTGTACAACCAGCTTCCTCCATGAATTAATTAAACCTTAGAAAGAGACCTTGAAACCTTTGGATAAAAAAGGTTACATAAAAAATGGTTGCATGATTCTTGATTAAGATTCGGATAACGTCATTTTGCTGCCAAGTTGCAGGAGATCCTTGTGACACGTGGAAAGTAAAGAAATCGAGGGTGGATCGAGTGGCCACTTGGGAATGAAAATTCTAACGGATCAGTTAATAACTTGCAAAACTGAGAAATTTTGAAGTTTGACGTTTACGTGCATGTGTCCACTTGTAAATCGTTTGGTCTTTGGTTTGATTGGGGCGGTGGGGTGTGGAAAAGAAGAGGGGTCATAAAGAATAAAATCATGGCTTCTTAGACAGTTGGCAGCGATCCAGACAGTGAAAATTTTTCAAATTTCATTTGGAGATATTATTAGCATATTATATTAATTAAAGTGATTTTATATTTACCCATATAATTTATGAAGTACAAAAATAAATATTATGATATTTTATCGAAATTTTAGACAACATATGTTGATGGTTAGCCCCAAATGTAGATTAAAAACTTGTTAGAAATTTAAGTGAGAGTCAACAATTAATTTTTACCATACATTTTATGAGATTCACAATCGTTCAACCATACGTTTTATCAATTTTTTTTTTATTAAAATTCACTTAAAATTAAATTTTTAAATACGCCAAACATGGGCTTAGTTTATAATTCATTTAGAAATTCATAAACGCTAGTTAATTAATTTCCGAAAGATTTAAATTAAACTATTTTATTAGAAGAGAAAATATCACTTTCTAAATACCTGGCGCAAATTTGGCATTGGCATGGAAGGAAAGAATGGCTCAAATTGTATTGACCAAACAAAGGAAGATCTCATGTTAACTTTGGCTACATATTAACCGACCATATCCATAATATAGGTACCTAAATTGGATATATGAAATTTATTATTTTTCTCGTACATGTCACTGATTGATATACGTGTCATAAGGCCTAACATAAAAAATTCTTGATTTCCACAAACCGCAAAAGGTACATGATTGCATTCCTTAATTAATTAATTATTATTATGAATTTTTCTGCAAATACGAGGAAGAAAAGAACCTGTAGCACTACGCAGCACCCGTACGGCTGCTTTCTTTTTGTATTTTTATCATCTTTCAATGATAATTTGTCAAGTATTCTTCTGTGTGAATTTTGTAAAAAAAAAATAAAAATCTATACCTATAGAGTGTTGTTCTATCATTATCAAATTTTTAATTTGTGATCGAGAAATTTGATAAGTTGTGACTAAAAATTAATAATTGACTAATTAATTTTTTGATTTGTGATCGATAAACAAACCGTGATCTATAAAATTTTTGAATTGTGATCGTAAAATAATTTGTGACATAAAATTTCTAATTTGTGAACAAAAGATAATAAGTGACTAATTAAATTGTGATCAAATTGTATAAATTTGTGACCAAAATTATTGATTAATTAAATCATAAATAAATTTTAATAAAAATTTAATTTTTGAAGTTTGAAACTTATTTTTGTGATTTTGAAATGTGTGATACTTGAACTCCTACTTATGAAATTTTCCTCTCACTCTCCCCCTCTCTTCCTTTTTTTTTTAATAACTATTGCATAAATTTTTAATAATTACTTATAGAAAAATAAAATTTAAATAAAAAAACATAAATATAAAAATATTCAAAGAAATTTTGGAAATTATTGACGAAACTATGTTTCCCGTCTTCACTCCATTTACTATTTTGGACGGAAAATCATAAGAAGTTACATAATAATTTATATACATATGAAGTGTCAAAATGAGAGGAAAAATTATTATTTTTATCTGGATAAAGAAATTTTGATCCAATCATATATCACTACATCATGTGTATATAAACTATATAAATCATTATGTACATATAGTACAACCATTTTCCACCATACTTGTTGTGATCATAATTTTTTGGGGCATAAAAGGTTGTGAAGTAGAATTGTTTATTTTTTGGGCCACGTCCAAATCCTCCACGCAGAGCGGATTGAGGTTTTCGGCCCAAATTTGGTCTAGCGCGGCCCATAGTTTAATTATAGATAATATTGTTGATAAAAATAATAAAATATGGATGATTTTAGAATCATCACCCTTAGGCATTAAATTCATGGAAGTAGAAGTAGAACCTTTATACATATATATTCTTTAAACCTTTAACTGATTTACAAGAAATTAACCAAAAGAAAGAAAGACTAAGAACATTAATTCCACGTTTAACTCTAATTACATGACAGAACATGCATTCGGATTCTCATCACTAAACATGAGTGTGTACTGTTCTTCAACTGGATTAAGAGAGGCAACGGCCGGATCATCAGTTTTTCTAACAAAATTTGGAGGTGCCTTTTTGTCATAAACTCCAGCAACATAAGGGTGAGCTATCATTGTGTATGGCACATATGGCCATGGCTCGGCTTTTTTTCCAGTTGATTTGGCAGCCTTCAACACCTTCTTTGGATCAACAATACCAGTCACTGATGCCTTCTGGTTCTTCAAGTCGATCTCTACGGATTTCGCGCCTGCAATTTTAATTTTTCGTCATTCAAAACGATCTGTCTATTCCACCGTACCAAACTACGAGACGTGAAATGAGAGGGTGAAGGTTTAGAAAGTTGATACCTTTTACTGATGAGAGAGCCTTCTTGACTTTAAGTGCACAGCCTTCACAATCCATTCTGACTTTGAGAGAGACGGTGTTCGTCTGCTTCATTTTCTTACCCTTTTTAGCACTGCTAAGAAGATCAGACAAGTACTCCATAGTGCCTGAAACCCCCATCTTCTTCTTCTTCTTCTTCTGTCTGAATTTTTTTTGTCTCAGTTAAAACTTGAAGAAGTTGAAATGAATTTAGTCGAATGAGAAAACCAGACAAAATCACACTCTCTTCTTTCACTAAGATTGATGAAAAAGACTATAAGCACTAAGCAACTTTTTCTTTCTTGATTTTGTTTATAGAGAGAAATGTGCAGAGTTTTTTCCCTTATTGTTGTCTTGAAGGACTGCGAGGGTGTGTATATATACACGTGTTTGTGTGCACGCCTGGTGTGATGAGAATTAAAATCTATTTTTTTATTAAAAGTTAAATTTAATGATTAATTTTAACTATATATTTCATGACAGCCATAATTTTTTTAACCATACATTTCATTTATTTTTATCAAAATTTATTAAAAATTTGATTTTAATCCTCAGGGCATAATTGTGGGAGCAAAAAATACCAAAGGGGATAATCTGCAAATAATGGAGTGGGGCATAATAAGCCTAGAAACTTCTCATGGGATTAATTTTTATGTTGGGGACCTTATTTATTGTAGAGTCAATACGCCTTTGCGGTGAGGTCGTCGTGAAGTTGGAACGGGAGTTCCCCACCAAAATTTCTTTTAAGGATAGTTTAAGAATTTCGTTTCGATTTTACTCTAATTTATCTTATAATACGTGCCTAGTTCAAATAAAAATAAGAATTTTAATATATTTTGATAAAAATTAATGAAATATTGTATGGTAGAAAAGTTGTAAATTTCATAAAATTTGATTAGTTATTAATTTTGACTTAAATTTTAGTTTAACTAAAAAAGTTGTACCAAATAGAGGCATAATTACTGAGTCGTCATTAGGGTTTCGAATTATCAACAAAAAATAGAGAGAAGTTAGAGAAGATAGAATGTGTGTTTCTCTCTTATAAAGTTAGTCTTGTTTGAGCTTCATCTTTTGATAATAGATTTTGTACAAAAGTGATTTTTGTGACAAACGTGTGATTAAAAAATTTAGGATTTATATGCAAAATAATTTTTAAGAAGAATGTTTGGTTGAAAATGAGTTCGATAAAAAAAGAGTTTTAAAGTATGGGGCTTAAACATTGTTTACTTTCATCATAGTAAACTACTATAGTAACAGAACATAATATAATATAACAATCAAACGAATATCTATAAATTTTTTCTTTCTTGATTTTGTTTATAGAGAGAAATGTGCAGAGTTTTTTCCCTTATTGTTGTCTTGAAGGACTGCGAGGGTGTGTATATATACACGTGTTTGTGTGCACGCCTGGTGTGATGAGAATTAAAATCTATTTTTTTATTAAAAGTTAAATTTAATGATTAATTTTAACTATATATTTCATGACAGCCATAATTTTTTTAACCATACATTTCATTTATTTTTATCAAAATTTATTAATAATTTGATTTTAATCCTCAGGGCATAATTGTGGGAGCAAAAAATACCAAAGGGGATAATCTGCAAATAATGGAGTGGGGCATAATAAGCCTAGAAACTTCTCATGGGATTAATTTTTATGTTGGGGACCTTATTTATTGTAGAGTCAATACGCCTTTGCGGTGAGGTCGTCGTGAAGTTGGAACGGGAGTTCCCCACCAAAATTTCTTTTAAGGATAGTTTAAGAATTTCGTTTCGATTTTACTCTAATTTATCTTATAATACGTGCCTAGTTCAAATAAAAATAAGAATTTTAATATATTTTGATAAAAATTAATGAAATATTGTATGGTAGAAAAGTTGTAAATTTCATAAAATTTGATTAGTTATTAATTTTGACTTAAATTTTAGTTTAACTAAAAAAGTTGTACCAAATAGAGGCATAATTACTGAGTCGTCATTAGGGTTTCGAATTATCAACAAAAAATAGAGAGAAGTTAGAGAAGATAGAATGTGTGTTTCTCTCTTATAAAGTTAGTCTTGTTTGAGCTTCATCTTTTGATAATAGATTTTGTACAAAAGTGATTTTTGTGACAAACGTGTGATTAAAAAATTTAGGATTTATATGCAAAATAATTTTTAAGAAGAATGTTTGGTTGAAAATGAGTTCGATAAAAAAAGAGTTTTAAAGTATGGGGCTTAAACATTGTTTACTTTCATCATAGTAAACTACTATAGTAACAGAACATAATATAATATAACAATCAAACGAATATCTATAAATCTTGCATTGTGTATTTTTTTCTTTCTACTATTTTATTGTTCTTAGGTCTCTAATTCTCAACATTCTTCTAAATTACTTGTATAGTAATGTTACGACCTTAAATGCAGACTGTCTATCAATATCAGATTAACAAAACCATAACAAATTCTCTAATTGAATGTTTATGGATCACAAAACCCATTTTTTATAGTAGAATTTCATACTTAGGGAACACGAAAGGTCAAGAGTCAAGACTGTTAATAAATTAAGGACCAAATTGTGTGCACAACATGGCACATAGCTTGGTCCACAGCACCCTCACATCGAGGTTCCATATCAATAAAAAAATGACGTGACCCCACAACATAGTGAAGGTGTTGTACAACCAGCTTCCTCCATGAATTAATTAAACCTTAGAAAGAGACCTTGAAACCTTTGGATAAAAAAGGTTACATAAAAAATGGTTGCATGATTCTTGATTAAGATTCGGATAACGTCATTTTGCTGCCAAGTTGCAGGAGATCCTTGTGACACGTGGAAAGTAAAGAAATCGAGGGTGGATCGAGTGGCCACTTGGGAATGAAAATTCTAACGGATCAGTTAATAACTTGCAAAACTGAGAAATTTTGAAGTTTGACGTTTACGTGCATGTGTCCACTTGTAAATCGTTTGGTCTTTGGTTTGATTGGGGCGGTGGGGTGTGGAAAAGAAGAGGGGTCATAAAGAATAAAATCATGGCTTCTTAGACAGTTGGCAGCGATCCAGACAGTGAAAATTTTTCAAATTTCATTTGGAGATATTATTAGCATATTATATTAATTAAAGTGATTTTATATTTACCCATATAATTTATGAAGTACAAAAATAAATATTATGATATTTTATCGAAATTTTAGACAACATATGTTGATGGTTAGCCCCAAATGTAGATTAAAAACTTGTTAGAAATTTAAGTGAGAGTCAACAATTAATTTTTACCATACATTTTATGAGATTCACAATCGTTCAACCATACGTTTTATCAATTTTTTTTTTATTAAAATTCACTTAAAATTAAATTTTTAAATACGCCAAACATGGGCTTAGTTTATAATTCATTTAGAAATTCATAAACGCTAGTTAATTAATTTCCGAAAGATTTAAATTAAACTATTTTATTAGAAGAGAAAATATCACTTTCTAAATACCTGGCGCAAATTTGGCATTGGCATGGAAGGAAAGAATGGCTCAAATTGTATTGACCAAACAAAGGAAGATCTCATGTTAACTTTGGCTACATATTAACCGACCATATCCATAATATAGGTACCTAAATTGGATATATGAAATTTATTATTTTTCTCGTACATGTCACTGATTGATATACGTGTCATAAGGCCTAACATAAAAAATTCTTGATTTCCACAAACCGCAAAAGGTACATGATTGCATTCCTTAATTAATTAATTATTATTATGAATTTTTCTGCAAATACGAGGAAGAAAAGAACCTGTAGCACTACGCAGCACCCGTACGGCTGCTTTCTTTTTGTATTTTTATCATCTTTCAATGATAATTTGTCAAGTATTCTTCTGTGTGAATTTTGTAAAAAAAAAATAAAAATCTATACCTATAGAGTGTTGTTCTATCATTATCGTCACAAATAATTTGTGTCCGCGGTATTTGAGGTATGAATGAAGGAAAATATTAAAATAATGTGGTTTTTTCTTGTTACAAACCATTCGTGTTCGTGATGACATGTTACGGCACACTCGTTGATAAATAGCTTTCAGAATTTTGACAGAAATGAAAGTGCCGATTTGTTCCCAGTTGGATGAATTGCCCGATATTTTTATCAACGCTTCATACACATTATGGCCCGATACCCTTTATCCACTGGTAACATAACACACGTTATAAACTACTGACAGAATATTCGAAAGGTTCCATAAGAAATTAGTCATCTAAATAATCAAAGCAATCTCGAAATAAGTCTTATTTTCTCAATAAAATTAGAGTCATTTAAAAGATATAAGCATCTAGATCTTTAACCGTCCATCTTCTTTCTAGCATGTTTTTAGATCGTATCTACCTTACAAAAAGAGCTTCTTTTAATCTCCACAAAACTTGTCTCAACCAACTAAATATTCATCAAGAGAGAACATATATGCTAAACATACGAGCAAACAAATAACCAGCCCTCCAAAACCCAAGTGTTTGCCTCATGTAATGATAGGTTAAGGGTGGCAATCGAGCCGAGCTCGCCCACGGGCGAACGGCTCTTGGGTTCGCAAGCCCATGAGCTCTTGGTCTCGACTCATTGCCACCCCATAGGTTCGTGCATAAACAAGTTGTTATAGATCAAGAATATTCATATCCACTACTTGACAACATGAACATGCTGCCTTTTTTGGCATTGACATTCCATAAAGACAATGGACCTAAAGCAATAGCCAAATTGATTGACTTCCCCATGCACCAATATCAAACAAATCAAACAAAGCTGGGATTTTATGTTATGATCAGTTACCTACATTGTTTAAGTGATGGAGTCTAATTATTGTTCCTCCGCAAAATCAATACGTGAATCATGTTATGATCATGTTGTCATCGTAAGGGGTAGGAAGCCCCTCCGAGGGTGTCAGGCCCTGAATCAAAATTTCAATGAGAATAGTTTAGGAATTTTATACTTGTAAATTTCGATTTTCCCTTAATTTTTTTATTTTTTATTTTATAAATATGGAGTCATCATTAAAGTTATAATCATCAAAAGAGAGAGAGAGAGAGAGAGAGAGATCATTAAAGTTATAATCATCAAAAGAGAGAAAGGGAGAGAGAGAATAGGATGTGCGATTTTTTTCCTAAATATCTTTTCATTATC